TCATGTGTGCAGCAGCTACAGTGTAGTTATGAAAATGAAAGTCTTAGGTCACAGGCTCGCTCCAACAGTGCAGCACAATAAACAGATACTAGTGCAAGAAATAAGAATATAATAGAAATTGTGTGCAGAATAGTAATTGGAATGTTGATATATATATAAGTTGCAAACAGATTAATATAATGGGATGTTCTTTCAAAAAGTTATTAGTAATAGTAATACGAGCCTTTACTTCTCATTGTCTTTAAGAGATATGCATTTAGTTTAATGTTTTAATGAATCTATGCATGGTCAATGCTGCTGGTCACATTTGTAATATGGGAGGCGTGTGGCGCAGTGGGTTATCATAATCAGAATACCGTTATTAGTCCCACAGAGGGGACATTTGCATCGTTACAGCAGGAAAGAGCCACAGACAGCTTAATGTTACCTATGTTAAGAAAAAAGTACTAAGTTAGGATATAATAAAACATATAAAAGTAAAAGAAAAATCCTATTTGTATTTAGTGCGTTGGTGTTGGGATCAGGGGGTCACAGGTTCAAACCCCACAGCAGTCAGCATGTCGTTGTGTCCCTGAGACACTTCACCCCAAATTGCTCCTGTGGGGATTGCCCACAGTATTGAGTATGTAAGTCGCTTTGGATAAAAGCGTCTGAACATAATGTAATAGATACAAGCTGTGTAACACGATTGGAGGAAACGTGTGTTGATCATCTACCGTTCATCAATCGACTAGCTGCTCTGGAAGTGGTTGCAGTTAAATCAGATGCAATTGTTCAGTATTTATTATTGAAAGGGATTTGTATTCCCTGTCATTTATGTCACGAAGCCACCATACAAGTATCGCATATTATGCATTAAACCGGGTGGTGTCAAAACAAATCATACATTTTCCTTAGAGAGAAGTCCCATGAAGTACTGGCTTTAACATGAAATAGGAAAGAACAACCAACTAATTGAAAACTGAAGGCCACATGGCACAAACAAAAATGAATCTATATTTGCTGTATAGAGTTGTAAATAAGACCGAAGCATCAGCTAAATGTACTATTCACACTGAGCCCAAAGAGGAGCTTTACAACCCAATCAGTTGTACCTATTTTACATTTCTGCTAACCAAAGCTAACTTCTGTGTTTTTTTTCTGTGTCCACTCCCAGCTGAAACAGAGCCTCACGAGGGGAAGCGAAAGGTGGAGTCGCTTTGGCCGATTTTCAGGCTGCATCATCAGAGGAGTAGATACATCTACGACCTCTTCTACAAAAGGAAAGCCATCAGCAGAGGTACACAGTTTAATCTCTACCTGTTGAATTGTCTAATGTTTCCCTTCACTTCTCTTGTTCTTCTTTCATCTACCTCAGCATTTGTATACAATGCTACCTTGGAAGTCTATATGTTATCTGTTGAAATGTGTGTTTGAATAACATTTTAACATGTTACTAAATTACTTGCCAAGATTTTTTGCGAATATGTGTCACACTAATTAAAGGTAGGGTAGGTAATTCACTTCAGAAACACTTTTTGTTATATTCCATGGAATGCTTTAGCAATGAATATATTAAAATATGTCATCTCTGGAAGCCGTGGCGCTGTAAAAAACACGACCAATCATCTGAGCCGGCCCGGCTAAAGTAACTGGATGGCCTACCTGCCTGTCAGCCTTCCATCTGTGCACAAACTGATCTCGTGCCCTCATTGGTCATGTGCGTGTTCGTGTGTGTTGGAGGAGGGGCTCTGTGAGGAAGTCTGAAGGAAGGGGCAGATTTTTTCCGGTTGTGTATTTTCAAATTCTAGCGCACTCGAGCTGGTTTCTCCACTCTTACCTTCCCTACCTTTTAAATCTCCTTTTATGTAGGTAACAATTGATTGAGAATTCAACATTTCCAGAATTCTTATTTTCCTGAATAATTTATTTAACGTTGTCCAGCACTTTTGTCCCCTTTTTTAAAGCATTATACAGTTACAGTCATACTACACGAGATGCCTAACAAGTGATTCTCCCTGTGTGTCCCCTGACAGAGCTGTATGAGTACTGTATAAAGGAAGGCTACGCAGACAAGAACCTGATTGCCAAGTGGAAGAAGCAGGGCTACGAGAACCTGTGCTGCCTGCGCTGCATCCAAACCAGAGACACCAACTTCGGAACCAACTGCATCTGCAGAGTCCCCAAGAGCAAGCTGGAAGTCGTAAGTCTGACAGATTTCTTAAAAATGATTCTCACTAACGTTTATCTTCCAAAACGATCCCTTAGAGCAGGGGTGTCAAACTCAAATACACATTGGGCCAACATAAAAAAATGGGTGCTAGTCGAGGGCCGGACTGGTTCAATGTTTATTGCAGAACTTATTGAAATGAACTTATTGCACATATTAAACCTGGAACTAACAAAGCTTAAATGATTGCCTATAAAAACAACATTAAACATTAAATAATCAGTTGCATTCATTTCTTATGGATCTGCAGCTTCTCCAGAGTCATTTCTTATGATTACATTTTCCCACAGGCCAACAACAGCTTCAACAAAACTATTTCCCTCAAAGAGAAAACCAAACATGCCCTGTTGTCGTGAGAGAGAAAGTGCAGAAGGAAACATCCATGTAAACTCAGTGTGCTGCTCTGTGATGCTAGTTCAGATACTTGGCGTCTCATCTTGGGTGCAAGGTCATCAATGTTTGGGCTCAGGCTCTGAGCTGAGGAAACCCTCAGGATGGAGTGAAGGTGTGCGTGCAATATACCGGCGGGCCAGATCTAATAGTAATTACAAATTATCCTGCGGGCCGAAATTAAATCCACCAAGGGCCTGATTTGGCCCCCGGGCCTTGAGTTTGACACATGTGCCTTAGAGAGTTTGTCTTCGTGTCTAAATGTGCCTGTTTCCCTTTCTCCTCTGCAGGGAAGGATCATCGAATGCACTCACTGTGGATGCAGAGGATGTTCTGGCTGAGTGAAGTTTTTGGACATCCTGCCTTTTTTCTCGCTGAGGATCGAGGCTCACCCAGCCTCCATCTGTGCACTCTCAAAACCTCAAAGCAACCTTGTCATTATTTCAATCGCCGGCATCAGAAACAAATCACTGAGACCTCAGCATTACGCTCAGTCGCCCTTACAGGGATCAGTATTTGGTATTTTCAATAACAAGGTTAGCGAAGAAGAGTAAATGAGAGGGGGCATATTGTACTGCTTACATTTGTTTTTTGTTTTTTTGTATCTAACTAAAGCCTTCGACTTGTTGAGGTTAGCTGATTCTGGGTGAGGACGTCATTCCAGCTAGTCTCCCACTGTGTAGATCATTTTCAAAATCTGTTTCATTTAAAGAGTGCTTGGGGAAATTTTGTTTTGAAATGTTAATGTTTTAAACTTTTTTCTTCATTTGTTTTTGTGATGTAATTTTAAATAAAACCATTCTGATTTACCTGTTCTTTTTTGTATTTCATGATTCAATTAAAGGTGGGGTAGGTAATTCACTTCAGAAACACGTGTT